TTTACACGGACTCCATGGATGTACGCATAAGGGGCCTCGGAAATAGGCCCTCTTTCCATTCTTTCTCGCCTGGTCAACAAGAAGCCATTGGCACTGATGCGCCTCCAGATATTCCTGTCATCATTTCTGCAAAACTGATGCCTTCTGTTTTGCACGTCTGCGACTCTTTGGTTCTTCTCCACACTTCTTCTTTCAGGTGTCTTTGTGAAAACAAAATGATAATCTGTTTGGTACGATTATCTTCTCTCTTTCCGAGCCTGTGCACGACATCCACTGCATTTTCCATCTTCGGCCACATCTCTGGAATAATCTTTTGTAGGAGTGGAATGGTGGTTGCTCTCAGATTTTCATCTTTCCACTCCTTCAATCCCCTCATTCGGAGGCACCATCTCATACTGTATCGTTCCAGATTATTGATTTTTTCTTTGAGCTCACTATTTTCTTTTAGCAAGCAATCATTGACCCTTTCCATTTCCAACATTTCATGTTTAGCACCTTCAAGCTCCTCCAAGTTAAACTGTACAGTCTTTGTCAAGTTAGCATCATGGCGGTGTTTTGTCTGTTCTGTTATCTAATATCATCTAGCTGTGTTTCCATGCCAGTCACACGTTTGCTCAGTTCCATTATTGCGTCAAGAATGGCATTGTTAGAAATTTGACCATCACCTTTCTCCACGTTTGGTTTAGATTTCTTTTCTGTCGGTTTCTCACTTGGGGTTGGGGTCGCAGAGTCCTCACCGCGGCCATGCTTTCAACAAAGCGACTCACTCGTCTGCCATCTTGGCACCTTTTTCCGGCGGCGGCCAAATGAGTGTATATAGCTCGAAAAACTGGAAAAGGCTGCTCACAGAGGTGAGCGACTTCAACCAAAAAGTAACAGAGAAGTTTTCTGAGCAGAAAGAGAGAAGAGACAATTTTTTGTTCAAATAGCTCCAGACTGCATTTGTGACCTTTTTTTTTGAGAGTGTGTGAATTGATGAGCATGATGATCATGAAGCTGTATTCGTGTCACCGTAGCCGGCACAGGAAGTTGCTATGTGGACCACAGTGGTAGAAAGTAGAACTTTTATGACTTTGGTGTAATGCAGTATTTACACTGAAAAATGAGGTCTTCTCATGAAAAATGGAGCGCATCTGGATTCGCTGTTTTTCCGCTCATAGAAAAAAATGTGTGTAGAATACATGTAACTCGGTTTAACCTTGGACAAATCTGACATGAGAACGCCCTAGTTTGTTGTTTTTAAAGTCATTTTTGGTTGCACACCTGTCAGAGCACACCACAGCTGCCAAGCAGCATCTACCACAGCCTCCTGGTGAATCGTAGAGTCTATCGATAGGAAAATGTTCAGAAAGTCATATGTTCTGCTTTTGACCAAGTGGGAGGTGCAACAAAATGAGAAAGTGGGTTGCACCGGTGCTACCAATGAAAAAGTTAGTCAGGAGCCCTGAATAGTGTTTTTTAATTATTTCTGTTGTGTGTTGTTTTGAGTTTGTACAGATCCTGTAAATATTGTGAGAGTCACTGTGACTTCGAAGTTGTTGTTTCCAAAGTGTTAATGTCTCATTTGTCATTTCATGCCTCTACAAGAGGTATGAGTGTCCATACTGCGAGAAAGTACATGTATCACCATTTTTCCAATAGAATACCAAGGTTTAGGTTGGTCACAACAGGCTCATGCTGTAATTCCTTTTGTGACATTAATGGTGGTTCCTCCTGGGAACGAGTGGGGTTCCCCATTCTGCATAGTGTCCAAGGTGGCAGTTTTATGATGGGAGTAGATCCAGAATTTAAACAAAAAACATTGCTTGTTACCTGGTGCGTACCCTTGCTTGGCATTCCAGAGAAAGTCAAGCGGTGTCCACTACAACTGCTATGTCATAGACCATAAACACAACAATACCATCAACAGGCAGGGGTCTATTTGCACATGAGTATGAAGTATGGCTTCATACAACCACTGAGTATTTTGTGGCAAACAAAATGATCACACACAGTGTTGTGATCTCAGTCAGCAGCAACGAATTATCTCCTTCTGTCCTTGGGTGTCATGCACATACTTGATTGATAATCATGGAGAAAGCCAAAAAAGAAAAGCGAGTTGTTTGTTTTTTCTTCTCAGAAAGCCTCAAGACCAATTAAATGTAAAAGTCCTGGGGTCCGTTTCACAAAGCAGATTTAGTGAAAACTCTGAGTCTGTTAACCCTGAATTGAGGGAAACTTTGAGTTTTCTGTTTCACAAAGGAAGATAACTCAAACCAGAGGAAGGTCACTTAAGACCTCGATCAGTTACTTCAGTAACAGACTCTATGAGCCTAGCCTGGTCGGGACCAGGTTTTTCTCAGTGAACCTCTAGTTTCTCTTTGTCTCCGCCCTCTTCAAGCCAAGCACGCCATCTGATTTCCTCATTCATTCATTCAGTCAGCAGGCAAGTTTTGGCATTGCCAAATTCTGCGATCTGTCAAAAATCATTTAAAAAATCAGAGTCAGTAGGCTATATTAGAAGTCCATAAGGCACAGGTGGTGAGTTTTTTCACTAACATGGCATGTCCTTTTGATAACGATCCCTAGGATGAAGGTGCAGCATTACTGCACAGACAATTAAATATTCATCAGGAGATGGTTATCAGACTGCCCATAGCTGTTCTAGCATTTCAAGTCAGTTATCTTTTTATGCAGTATCGTTTCGCGTCACAGTCCATCATCTACATACACAACCTAATCCGTCCTTATATGTGCAGCATTACCAACCATAGTCATGCTCTCACATCCCCACAGATATTGTGTGTTGTGCTGCGTTTCTTTGCAAATGAAAGTTTTTTGTACAATGTCTGAGATGCAGAGCACTTGAGTAAGGCAACTGTATGCAGGGCGGTCAGAGAAGTGTGCCTCACCCTGAAACGGCCTTCACCCATCTTTATCGTTTTCCCTGGACATAAACCTGTCAGAGCCATCAAGGAGGAGTTCCACAGGACTGCAGGTGAATGATGTAGAGATCTGTTAAATTCATTTTAAATTATATTGTTAATGACATTGTGCTGCA